GAACGAGAAATGCTGTGGGAACACGAGCCGACAGTTGAGCTCAGCTGTATTAATATAAGTCATGCAATGTAATTTAATTTAGAGCTATTGCCGAAAACATGAATATGATAAGGCCAACGTCGAGCCATTTAGCGGGCCTTATCGTGGTATCCATGGCATGAAGCAACAAGAACTATATCCCCCCCTCTCCAACATTAAATTCTCCAGTACCCTTTTATACACATGGGTGGAGAGAGGCACAATGCGAGTAAAGTGTCTTGCCTAAGAACACAACAAACTATCCCCGTCTAGGGCTCGAACCTGCACCGCTCGATCCGGAGTCAAACACACTAACCACAACGCCTCTACGCCTCCACCGAAGAAATGGTAGGAGCAAAAGCAAGCTCTTCAACTTTTACCTTTGATTGTTAGGTAGTTCAGTAAAATTACAAAAAAGTACAACATCGAGGAGGATTATGTAACATTGCAGCAATTTTCATCATTATATTTGTTCTTCCTTATAAATGTAAACCCGAATTCAGTGGAACTTTTTCCCTTTTCCGAAAGTGAGCTATTACAACATTATCAAGAATTTTCTTATCAAGTTGCTGGTCGAGTTGTTTTTCACTCAATCATTACACCACTTCACCAAACTTATAGCATGACATATATTGTTTTCAGCTTGGAATCTGGCGTTGGAAAGTACTGATAGTACCATGAACATGCAAGATCTTTTTCTGCTTTGTTACAAGGTATATTGCATTGAATTGATTAATTTCAGTAAATGTTTTTTTTTTCCCTAGAGAACGACCTCTTTTAAGACCAAACGTTATGAGAAATGTATACAAGTTGGAAATAAGTTTTGTTCTTACCAAACTTAGAGTTCGTTAATTGTGGTTGTTTCTTTTGTTTAGTTTTCTTGCTTCTGTCCCATGGAATCAACTAACTTGATTCGTCAGAAAAATTGCCTCGTTATGGCAGCTGCATCTGCAGTTCAAGCAGCAAGAGAACAAAGTAACAGAGAAGGGAAGGTTTGTTTCACTTCAAACTAAAAAGCACATAGACAGTCATAATGGGATTGCTTTAAAATAGCATGCAAGCTGGTACTGTAAAAATTGAAACATGATATAATGCGCGTTTATCTCGAGTTTTACATAATTAAAATCCTTCTTTCCGCAGAATAAGCTATTGAGGCAGTGTGTGGAACATGTTGAGGCTTGCCGTGATCTACGTAGAAAGATAGGGATTGGAGGGTCAAGCAGCAGTCAGAAAGGTAGCCATGACACTGTTTTGTTTCTTCTGAAGTTAAATACACGGCACGAATAATGACTTAGTAAGCCAAGTAGCTTATGTAAACGCGCAGACGTCTTAACTCCTCCATCTACTTTGATGATAGGCGGTGGTGTGCACATGTTATCTTACCTGGAACTTTCAGTTTCATTTTGACTAGTAAAATTGTCACTGTTCTTTTTAGAAGAAGTAAAAACACCTGTTGTTAACACTAACAGGCTTTGCTTTTAAGGGATTTTTCGAGACAAAACCAATCTGTAACTTCCTTTTCAGATGAGTCAGTGTTACTGTTGACATTGTATGAGTTCGAGGCAAAGGCACAATTAGGCGATTCAGACCTGTCCTTGTGTCTCGATACTGCGGAGGCCCTGCCACATGCTGATGCTAGCACTTTCGAAACTCTTGCTGGTAAATAAGACGTACGTAGTCATAATTTCAAAACATTTTTACCGTGAGGACTATCAGAGAAAATTTGGAGAATCCACACGAATCGCAATGCAAACAAAATGTGGAAGTTCTTGGTGGGGACTGGGTAGATTATATGGGCGGATCCTCAAGCGGTGTTAACACCCTCAACGCACCACAGTCAGCACGTTTCAAATTTGATCTATTGCAAATTGGTGTATTCCCTTGCCTGCTGCACTTGAGCTAGTACATAACGGTCAGCGGAATAAAGCAGGGAGGAAAATTAAGAAACAACACAGAAATGTCTCATTCTTACTGATCAGGCTAACATTCCATCCACGCCCTCTCCATTGGGCTTGAGAACAAAGAAAAAGTTATCAAACTTTCAACAAGACGTTACATCATCGGTTCTCGATGCCCCTTTAAATTAAGTTATTTCGCTTTTTAAATAATCAGTAACTGATTTCCACTACCATTCCAATTTTTTTCAATATTTTTCCATTTTTGTGCTTCTAAATATGCAGCTCTCGCAGTTGAACCGCCTGCCTACTACAGAGAAATAAGCATGAGAGCTTTGAAAGTTTCTATCAAGAAACATCTTGCCATGGATGTAGTTGACTTCACTAAATTAAGGTAATTGATTGTCACCGCTTTGCCCTGGTTTTGTTCATACACAAAGTACCTAACGGAAGACTTAGCAGGATTGGCTGAGAAAACAATAGAACAAACAACAGAAACAATGAACCTGCCCCTAAAACAATAGAGATGGGTAAAACAGCTAATTATCACATGCGTCCCCAGTTCGCATCTTATGGGAACATGCAGGGTTCGTTATGCTTTGTAAACCAACTATTACCAGCAGTTGTTCAATCTTATTGATTTCCTTTACAATGCAATGTAAAACATCTGAAATGACGTGGATATTACTCTTGATTTCTTTTACAGCAAAGCGTTTCACAGTCTTGTACATCACGCATTGAGTAGTGGTAGCAGCAGTGACGCTGAAAGTAAAGAAGAGGCCTTAGCTGTTTACCAAGACATTTGTGAAATCATTGAGAACCAGGCCAAGGTGAGAGATATATCGAATATACTAAGTATTGGCTGAGCTAACATCCTTGTTGCTTGTGGTTAACGATAAATTAAGAGTAGCGTTTCCACCATCTTTCTTATGCACCTCGAAGAGCCAATGGGTGAGGGTGAGCTCGGCTAGAGATGTAAAGGGCGGTCCTTTTTGTAAGTTATTTTCTGCTCCTATTAACTACAGATTAAAGAAGATATGGAAAAAAATCGAAAAAGGGAAGCTGGAAGGCTAATGATTCACGAGATATTGCTAGTCAAAGAAAAAAGGCTAAGCGGACTCTATTCGGGCAACAGTGTTTAATTAGCTTACATTGTTCGTCACATTAAACTCGACTCCCTAACACTTAAGCTAGAGTATATCTGAGCTGAACGACTTAAATCCGCATTTAATTACTGCAGGTTGGATTTAAAGATAATTTGCCAAAAAAGGCTTTTGCATTTTCGGTTGTTCCGCAGACGTCCGGATAAGAAAGAGGTAAAAATCGAAGACGAAATTTCATGAATTAAACATCTTCACAAAAAGAGAAGAAGTGCAGGTGTTGAGCAACTGGACTAGTAGCAATTTTGTCTCTCCTGGAGAATTACACGTAACCGTAATTCGCTGAGATTTTTAGAAGTAAGAATAATACTAAACCATTTCATTTGGAAACTTGTTTAAATCCAGGGTTGCTATCCTGAGATTCAAATCTTATGGCTGATGACAAAAGCATGGAACTGTGGGATAAACCTATTCAGGTATGATATCCACGTATACTTGAACCAAGGTAATAAGAAAATAATGCCAACATCAAAAACCAAAAGAGAAACAGAGTGGCGTATCTGCTGATAACTTAAGGCTAATATGACAACTTAGAAAGCCCTTGCCATCTCCAATCGTATCTCTCCAATCGGCAGTACCTGTATCTTATGAGACGTTTTGGTGAATCGAAAACTTTCAGTTTAACAGAGAGTTTGAGTGAACCCTTTTTTGTTCCGGAAGTGCGTGGCTTAGTCCTTTATTCCCTCTTTTCTACAATTTCTAGCTCAAACAGACACGCGGCGGGAGAGAAGTGGTGCGCATTGGCCATGAGGCTGCTTCACCATTTGTCTACATTCAAGTGTAACTATCAACACAAGGTACAAATCCATTTTGAACATTTAACTCAGGTGGTCTATTACTCTCAGTTTCATTTATTCAAATCGTTTAGTTAATTACAGCCTGAATTATAATTCCTTTGCTAGCTATGCTTTTCTTTAACTTAAAATTGTCTGCGATCGTTAATGTTGTTGCCGGCTCTTGTCAAAATTTTGTTTGTCGGAACCGATCTTGCTCATGATTTAAAATCAGTTATACCTCTCCAACTTTAGATGACTAAAGTTTATGGCGACATCTTGGACCGCATGGAGAATAGCAATTTCAAAGGCCAAGTTGAAGAATAACTTTTCCCAAGTAACCTACTATGAAATGACGTATTACCCAATGCGGATTCTGCCTGAACGTTTGACTGCAAGTCAAAAATTTTATTTATGGTGTTCTAGCTGTGTACTTTGATACCATTTTCACCAACAAATTCCCAATAAGGCTATGTTCACATTTGGTGCCCGAGCACGGTGACCGGGTACAAAGTCTCGACTCGGACACTAAACGGTACTTGGATACTTGGAGTACCCAGTGTCTGATCGCAACACTTTTTTGTGCCGGTGCCCAGGCACTAGTTTTCAGGCAACAAGTGTGAACGCATGCGCAGCCTTAGAATGACATTCCCCCTTTGGTTTATGGCCTAGATAAAACCATTATTGAAAATTTGAGTGTTAACTTTTCTTTGACACTTTATGAGAGGAAACCTTCCAAAACGCAGCTTTCAATCTAAGCTGCTTGTCGAGTACGACATAAATACTTAATTTGACTCTGTAGCTGGGCCACGTTTGTGGTGTTCTTTTAAAAGTAAAGACAATTAAAGTGAAAAAGAATATTTTAAGGGAGACAATGGTTGAAAGCTTTTTCGACACTAAACAATTTTAAAGACTTCAATAAATTCTATCGAGTTTTATTCTTATACACCTTCCTCTTAAGTAGTGTATGTAGACGTATGTAAGTCAAACACTGTTTGACAGGCCCCGGTTGTCCACAGGTTGAATAACGCTATGAATAGGCCATTTCCGAGTTACCTTGTGCCTCTGTTTCAGAACGAGTCTTCCTGCAAAACCTTTCAAATGAAAATGATATTGATTTAAATGAGAATGAACCGGTATAGACGGAACTCACTTTCAAATGAATGGCTTCGCTCTTAGACTCGTTTAGACACGGAAGCAAAAGACAACTAGGAAATGGCCTATTAGCGGATAAATCACTGTTCAGTAGATAACGTCGTTGTCCACTGCCTAGTGATTTATCCGGCGGACAGCATTCTCTAACCTTTGAACAAACAGAACTTAAGCTTTTTGACCTTCCAATAATTTAGTCTCCGTCTACGTTACCGCTATGTGTTGTGGTCAGAAGTCCACATGCCACGTTTACTGTGATAGTAATGAAAGATCCCCGGATGTCGCACTCTGTCATATTCCATTCCAAGCCTTACAAGTCTCTCCATAAAGTCCCAATCTTCTCCGCCCCATTTCTCGTCAAAGGCCTTTTCATTGAATCCTCCAATTCGGTCCCAGTCGCTTTTAAAAATGCCAACTAATCCAAATCCTTGCGGTTCCCAAAATCCTTTCAGCGTCGCTCGAGATTCTCCACAACTCAGGCGGATTATAACGGGAGTGTACACAGTACGACTTTCAAAACAGCGCTGTGGAGTAAATTGGTAAAACGCTCGGTCATTATATGTCTTATCACTGAAAATCAAACCGTACTTTTCTGGTTATCAACTACCCCAGTCATAGCCTTCCCCTGCCTCCCCGGTTAATACCTTTGTTCTGGTAAGACTATAGCCTAGTTGATTAGTCGTTGATTTGTCTGTCTCGATCTCCCGTCTTAATAAAACTCGCCCGTGATCGTGATTCTGCTCGGGAAAAGTGATTCTGCGCGGAAAATGTAATAACTTTCTTCGCCTTTAACATCCGAATCATTGAACATGTATATGTGATATGTGAGAGTAGATTTTATTTTCTTTTGGAAACTCAACGTAATTGCCATGTCGAATTTGCAAATAGCATCATCTGACTTCTCAGATCACTATTGGTTTTTATTCAATCTTTCACCGAATTCTGCTCAAAGTTTTTTTTCTCTGCTGGTATAATACACGTTGCCAACGGGCCTAAAAATGCACAGTGCTTGCATTAGAAGTTATCCAAACCCATTTGTCACTTACTTTTCGGATGTCATCAAAGAGTGTAGTCGGCAAGTCCAAGTGCAGATCAAGGGTGAACACAATGGTCTCGGGATCATGAACTTGTTCAACAGCTCTGTTGAAAGATTTAGTGCGGGAATAGTGTTCTGCTTGTTCACTGATAACAATGTAAGGTGGAAGTTTCCTCAAAGCCAACTCGTGCTCCAGATTTATGTCAGAACTGTTATAATCAAATATGACCAGACGCACGTTTTCGTCTCCTGTGACAGTGTACATCGCTTCCAAGTTGTCTAAGAAGTGCACCATCCATCGGCCTTGATTTCTAAGAGTGATCACCAAAGCAATTTTGGCATTTCTTTTCCACTGGAGACCTTTAGGATAACACAAGGAATCAGTGTCCTTTGGCCGGAAGACGTGTTCAGATAGCCTGAGCGGCTCGTCTCGGCCTGTGACATTTACTAAGAACTCCAGGAGAAACCGACTCCCTAGCTCTTTGTCAACTTTTCTTTCCACGTTTATCAGTTCTAGGACCTTAATTTTGCTGCAAAGAAAGGTTACAAGAAAGGTTTCCTTGTCTGTTGCTCATTAAATTGTGTAACTGCACCTTATTACAAATGTAAATAAATGAAGTACTTGCTGTTTCAAGTTACTTTCAAACTTCGCTGTTTTATTTTTTAGTCAGGAAGTATTGTTCAAACCTTTAGGTGGAAGATGTAACTAATGAGTTGTAGAAATGGAAAGAGTGAGATGAACGTGATGTAAATAAATCTAATATGAATGTGAATATTAAAACAGTTTGTAAAATTCACAGTATGTGCATGGAAAAGTGTTACTGCATGACGTGTGAAAGGCTCGCCTTTCCAGTCTTAATGGACTTTTTTTTATCGATGTCACGCTTTTCCGCTTTCATTCAAACAAACAACAAAAAAATAAGCCCCACCGCTCGATTTATCATGCCGAATTTAGCAAATATACGAAGCTTCATAAGAATCCGTTGGAAACTCGTGAAAATATGGGACCTTAGAGTTACCAATTTTTACAAAGAAATGTTTGCATATTAAAAAAGAAATCAAAAATGAATAATTTAAACAAGAGAGGGCGATAACACAAAGCTGCATTCACTTACCTGGGATAGCGCTGATGTAAGTCATCCATGTAGATCCTTGCAACCTTCTGTGCTGTTGCTGTATCCAAATGATGATCCCCAAACTCTGGAAACTTATTAATGATCGTTCTGTACTCCGCTGCTGGGTAACTTCCTATAGGAATAAAATGATCTTTCAGGATGAAGTCATAAACAAGTTGTGGGCTACCATCAGGTGCTTCCTTTTTTGTAAGATAGCTTGGCGTATATTCGCAATAAGGCAACACATCTCTTACCATCTCATGAGAGAGGTATTGTGGCGTGGCTTTAGTTTCCGTTCTTGTACTCTGCCGATGGTGGGATCTTGATTTGCATGCTGGACTGTCTGGAGTCATGTCGTAATTATGCAGAGTCCCGCTATCGTTCAGAAACAAAGACAGGCTGTCAGTGGAGATTATTTCAAACTTATCACGTGGCGTTGCAGGCACGCTCCACGCCACTTGGAGAAAGTCGACTCCCAACAATTGAACGTGTAGAATTTCTATGAAATATTTTCGATCTTCCTTTAACTCTATCTCGTCTGAAACCTGTGACAGTGATTGCTGGAAATTATCCCTGGTAGTCCATTCGCCCAGGCTACAAATTAAAACAGCCTCGGAAGGGTCTTCCCCTGCACTGAGCCACAATTCTGAGAAATCATCCGAAGCAATTGCGAATTTGTACTTGCCCGTTTTCGGTGGATGTAAGAATCCAAATATTCTCTGGGCATACTTATCTTTAGATCTTGTAACGTCTAGCGCTGTAATGACTGCCTTCTCGTCTGGTGCCTTTGGAAACAATGGGTGGTAACACAGAACATGAAGCGGCGACGGGCAGAAGTCGTACCAAGTATGGACGTTTATTCCAGAAATTATTTCATTTTCCTGTCTTTCCTTGGACATATTGTCGTTGAAGATTTCCCTTGTCAGTGGATTGGTTGCGCGAACTGAAGACAGATTAAATGCAATTCGAGTCCCACCTCTTTCGCTTGTGATTAAAACACCGCATATAACAAACACGGCCATAACAGGAATGGAAAACTTCGCAAGCCATTTCCGGCGGAAGATGAACACGAATGATAACAAGAGTCTCATAGCTGTTACATTTAGAATGAACATCCGAGTTCACAGTTTTTTCCTCTGTTTTGACCTCAATTGAGTTCTGACAATGGAGCGAAACGAAAATTCTTGGAAACAAAACAAATTACCTAGATACGGCTTTACAAGACGTCTTCGTGTCATGGTGTACCTTTAGGTCATGTTACTCGAGTACACTTTTAATCGCAACACTTCGAAAAATTGTCATCAACCAAATTATCCTGTTAGAGCGGTTTTTATTTGAGTATCTTATTATTAATACATTTGCCACATTTGCTTGGGCAATGCGTTATTACATTTACCACATTTATTTGTATTATATTACATTTAGCGTAAACATGTACTACGTCAACTGAGGGGTATGTTTTTACATCTGGGATTCATTTTAATTACATTCACGGTAAGTATTTTTAAGTTACCACTGGAAACGACACAATTGACAAGGTTCCGTGAAAGTGTGTATGGTCCAAGATCTCATTTTAATAATAAACTGAATCCAACAAACACTAACAACCTTAACGACACGAAAACGAGGCAAATTGTTCAAATGCCGCGTTTGCATGTTACTTTGCGTCACGTAAACTGGCATTGTCACGACCGCTATTCCATCCCGCTGTGAGCTGCTCATAGAAAGCGGTAGAATTTAGCCTGCGTGCGGAAGTCTGCAATTTCGTTTGCTTCACGCGGAAAAGTAGAACAAAAAAAATATCAACTTTGCGTTTTTAGCGACGTCATGGAATAGAACAGCGGATAATCTTGAAGGTTTGGGAAAAGTGTAACAACAGTTAGCTGATTCTCTCGCTCGCCTCCACTCCCTCCTCAGCGAACTCGGACCGTCTTGAGAATCAGGCTACTCGACAGTCAGAAATTAACGAAAATGGAGATGCTCTAGGGGCAACATCTTAAGCCTATGACACTGCTAACGACAAAATGCATATAACCTGGAATAAGTAGTTTCAGGAGTTTCTTGATCTGTTGCGACGCAGCTATAATGATTTTCAAATTAAAATCAAAACGCTTTCCATTACAATAAAACTATAAAAGCACTTCCATTTTTTATTTGAAGCATCCTTTGCTACCATGGCAACACTTCATTCTATAAAGAAAATGCAGCGGAATAACAACAGAATTAATTTTCTTGCTCCGCAGGACAGCAGCCTGGGAAGATAAAATTAAGGTGGGACTTACCCTAAAAACACACCATGTTTCAAACATTTTCTCGCGACTAAGAGTTAACTCCAAACCATTGCAGAGTATACATTTTTAAAAAGCTTAAAGGCCAACATTTATGGAAAGAATATTTGTGTACCCTATAACTGTATTGCAACCTGACACCGGTTGATTAAATCTGCCACCTGCTGGGGAATGCCAGGGCTTACTTGAGAAAAGATAACTCCTACACGAACTGATCAAAAGGAATAATTTTTAAATTTTATAAAAGAAGACATATAGCTTGCTGGGATAAGCAAAGAGATTTTTTTGAAAAGTTAAAAACACATGAAATGATGACCAGTTAAATCTGATACAAAAAATCTAATCTACGTTTCAATACATAACTTCGACAGAATGCACTGAATGGAAAAGGTCTATGCTTATCCCACAGAACGTACTAAGAACAACAAATCCTGAAATTTCAGCTCAATTGAATAAATTCCTCTCAAGATATATTTTCTCGAAGGCGAAAATAACTCGTTTTGAGAAAACGCGCTTTAAACTTACAGTAACAGTACTTGTCAAAATAAAACTTCAATACCTTAGGGTTCGAGTTCCGTGAAAAACAAAACTTCGAATTTCTTTCAGAATTTTAGGTTAAGTCCCGCCTTAAAGGGGTCCATCAAATTAAGTAACCTTAACATTCAACAGAACACGAATCATCATTCATGCTTTCGGAAAACACGTGTCGATACACGCGTTCACCTAGATAGTATTAAGTTTATCACAATGATGTTTGTTTGCTTGTAGGAACGAACTTGCAACTTATTTAAAATTAGAGCTTTGTTTTTAGATCATAAGAATAGTGTAATTAAAGTATTGGAAAACAAACTCGCGAAGCTAGATTTAAATCTGTCACGATTAACCCTCGTCCTCCTGAGCTATATCTTTTCTACTACGCCATTTCCTAATGGGCGGGGGGATTGCCATCCCCTCGGAATTTTGTTATTGACTGACAAATGTTACTTTTTTGGTATGGGTGGGTAGCTACAGATGCCCTCTATTGAAATAGTACAAAACACACAGAAAGTGATAAATCATCTTTGCGAACTAGGATTCCTTATAAGCTTAGAGAAATCAAGTTTGACACCTAGGAAACAATTTGTGTTCTTGGGAGTGTTTCACGATCTAGACAAAGAGATCATTCTTCCATCCACAGAGAACCTCCAGAAGCTGGAAGAATTTTACTTGACTTTGACAGCAGCAATCTTATGATTTGGATGTTAAGCCTCCACTCGGCCAAAGGACGTTTGCATTGCAGATGTATATATTTATCCAACAAAGGAGCGCATAACCAGTCATGTATAAACATATACATTGCATTGCAGATGTATATATTTATCCAACAAAAATTATCAACTCTAAAAAGAAATACAGGCAGAAGACATAATAATCATATTTGGTGCCTGATGAAATGTGACATTTTAGCAATCATGTTCTCCTGTTCCCTCTACATTAACAGGAAGTTAGAATTCATTCGCCTATCGAAGACGTATATTTCACTTTTAACTTGTTTCACCTATATAAATTATTATATTTAACATTATGCACCTAGATGCGTGCACTGAATGAGAAGTGTTGTTTGGTAATTTAAGATGGCAAGTACATGAAACTGCGCCATCTCAAAATAAAGAAACTGACTACTGACCACCAGCGCCCTCTCTTTTAATTATCACTAACTAAGGAAAACTGAAGAGAAATCTCAGGCTTGGCATGGCTACTATTGTACTATGGCATTATGTGAACAGTGGAGAGAGGCACTGTGAGGGTAAAGTGTCTTGCCCAAGAACACAACACCATGTCCCCGGCCAGGGCTCAAACCCGGACCGCTCGATCCCGAGACGAGCGCACTAACCATGAGGCCACCGCGCCTCCCAAAACATGCTTGCTACAAACTATCCTTGTCCAGTGACTACCTGAACCCATTTTCAAAATGCCACGCTACAGCTGAATGTTGTTCAGTTCTTACAATTATAGTAAATGGTTTGAACCCAGGAGTATCAGTAAAAGAGCTGTTAACGTTGTTGGTGACTGACGTTTCGACAACCTGAGCGGAAGTCATCTTCAGAGGCAAATGAATAGTATTTGCCAGTCGATGATGTTGTAAGTCTGGTCTGTTGAACGTGGTTGGTCAGTTTAGCCATGATGGTATTGGCTGAAAGACTCGTGTAAAGTTTGTCATCAGTCAATGGTGGGTTTCGATCCGTCTATTGTTAGTCAAATTGGTCGGTTTTTTGGTCCGTCTAACGGTTAGTCAAAGTAAGTCGGTCTGTTAGATGTCCGTTTTCGGTTTCGTTTGCGTCATGGATAAGTCGTTTGTAAGGCGCCGGTTGTTGTTGACATCTATTAAGTGGCGTTTGATCTAGGTTAGTGCACCAGCTTTCCATAGTCAGTCGTTGAAAATCGTTTGTACTGGAGGAGGGGGGTGAATAGGGGTATGCAAATCCGCCAATCCGTGCCTTTTTTTCGCCAAATCCGTCGATCCGCCAATATTTTTTTTCAAATCCGAAACCACAATTACATCCGAAAAAGTGTGAATGTGAATGCCATTGTTACTAGTAATTGTTACTAGTAATTTCGCACAAATAGTAAAGAAGGCAACATGCTTAATGACTATAACACGGTACAATTCCAATAACAGTCTCACACCTGAGTTTAAATGAGCTTTGTTCGAAAAAAGAAATAATTTGGATGAACTCATTAACATACCGACCAAGGCTGAAG